CAATCGACCCATTATCATTCGCATTTCTCCTATTCCGGTCATTATCCTCATCCTTGTCGAGGAACGGAACGGCAAAGGGCAAGTCGTAGCCCTTGTGTTTGGCGAGGACGATGAGGCCGATGAGGAGGAAGATGATGAATGCAATGATACCGACGACGATACCAATGATCGTGCCCGTGTTGCCGAGGTTGCGTCGGCTCACGTCAGAGTTGGTGGTAGCAACTTGGCCTGTAAAGTCGGTCTTGTTGGTGCCACCAAAGATTTGGAAGGCGTCGATGGTGAGTGTGTTGCCGTCTGCGCCAGTGTTGGTCAAGACGATCTTGTGCGCTCCACCGCCGAGGTTGGTCTTGTAGAACTAGATATTTCGTTAGATTGAGTGTGTCAACGCAGGACTTGGGCTTACCAAGGTGGAGGAAGGGATAAAGTCGGATCCTTTGGCATTGAGGGTGACGAGTTGGTCACTGTCGAGTTGAACAGTATACTGGGTATTGTTGGGTCCAATACCACCAATGACTTGGATGCCCTCTCCGTAAAAGTCGAATGTCACAGTAGAGCCCTTTTTGTTGGTCTCGTGCTACAAATGATGAGCATCGCTCTCAACCTGTTGTAAAGACACGTACCACGGTACCGTTCAGGAATCCCTTGTTAGGGAGGCTGACACTATCGTCTTCCCATCCCTCTGACCAGGTGACCTTGTTGTTGCCGGCTTGCGTCTGCGAGTCGTCAAACATGAGGAGGGGTAAATCGACCGTCTTGTTCCCACTCGCGACCGTCGCGCCATTCACAGAAAGCACATCTCCTCTTCCCCTCGTCTCAACCACAAACGCGTCAATATCCAACACACTCGTGGTCGATGTGCTCGAGCCGCGGTTGATGACTTTGATGGTGTGATTGCCAAACGTGAGATTCCTGACTTGAGCGAGGAATGTGCGGTATTGGTGGGTCTGCGAGAATGCGTTGAAGCCTCGAATGATTTGGTTGTCGATGCGAACTTCGATCGCGTCGTGCGTCATGTATTTGGAGCCGACGACGGTCACGCCCGTACCCACAAAGTTGAGGGACGCCGATGCACCGCGCGAAGCAGTAAAGTGATACGAGGATTGGAAATAGTTCTAGAGGTGGACAGGGTCA